CATTGCGTATAATCGTGCGACCACACAAGGAGGAGGTGGTGGTGGTGGACAAAATGCAGATATTGTCAGTGCATTGGTCGAGGCAGATGAAGCCGCCAAACGAGAAGAGAAAACGTTTGGTATTGCCGGTGGTAGACCAATCCACCTCACGGACGAAGAATTGTTTGGAAACCTGTTTTTGTTCAACATGGCTGGGTATGAGACTACAGCCAACGCCATCACCTATACCATTCCTTACCTGGCGGCCAATCGTGCTGTACAAGACTGGGTCGGACAAGAGATCGATGGAGTTTTCAACACCCACGAGACACTAAAGTATGAGGAAGTATTCCCTCTGCTAGTGAGAGTGTTGGCTGTTATGGTATGTTGAATCTCGATCACCAAACCCGTGGGTATTGCTGCTGACTAGATGTGTCCAGTATGAGACGTTACGACTATGGGGTCCAGCGACCGACGTTGCCCGATGGGCTTCTAGTAACGACGAAACCCTCCGGATCAACGGTGAAAAAAAAGTCATTCCGAAACGAATGTACGTCTCGACCAACTTTTATGGCATACATAGTGATCCGCGATGGTGGGGGGAGGACAGTCTGCAATGGCGTCCTCAACGATGGATCCAAGTCGACCCCAAAACTGGGAAGGAATCGATTGCTCCTCCACCAAAAGGTGCGGCATATTTGGCGTGGAGTGCTGGGCCTAGAGTCTGTCCAGGACGGAAGTTTAGCCAGGTCGAGTTCGTGGCTGTGATCTCGACGATTTTGAGAAAGTATCGTCTGGATCCCATGATTATCGAAGGGAAGACGAGCACCAAAGAGGAAGCGAGGGATGCTTTGATAAGGGAGATCGATGGGTCGGGGTATGTGGTGACGCCTAGATTCCGAAACCCGGAGAATGCAGGTGTGGTATTTGTTGGACGGTGAGGTTGTTCTGGAGATGTGTAGAGGACGCGAGAATCGTTATCGTGTCCTCAGTCCAATAGTGACATACAATGAATGCCCATCCCGAAGCTCGGAATTGTCATTGAGGCTTTTCTTCCATACACCAGGCCACAGCTCGCGGGCTCTCGCAAGAATGTTATCGTCGCTTCTAACCCATTTATACGTGGACGTAGTCGCCTCTTCAAACGCGGCCATGGCTTCGTCCGCGCGCCACACTTTTTCAGGTATGTAACTTTTCGTGCGGAACGACCTTTCAACTTCGAGTCCAGCACCTTCATACATGGCCTCCAAGGAATGAATGTCCTTGATCCACTCCCGATCAAACACGTACGACAATCCCAGAGGTTTTCTCAGAGACACGGTAAACAGATACTGCATCGTCTCATCTTCCGTGGGGACGTCGATGATCATCTTGCCCGTGCCTGGAACCAGATATGGTGCCCAATGTCGAATACACGCCGCGGGGTCCCGTAGCAAGACGAGAGCCGAACAGCAAGAAATCACGTCGAACCCGCCTCTCTGGGACAGAACATTTTGCACGACGTTCAGCGACGACAGATCAGCGATATCGCCCTTGATCCAGTGTAGGGCGCCCGAATCTCGGGGTAGAGGTTTCCTTCTGGCTTCATCGAGCATCGCTTCTGTAACGTCCACGCCGACCACGACGCCTCCGGGTCCAACGGCCTGGGCGTATGGTAGACTGACCAAGCCAGTGCCGCACGCGAGGTCGAGGACGGCGCCACCTCGTGGCGGGGGTAGCCAGTCGACGTAGTCTCGACCCAAGGTGGCGTGCCAGCCGCCGGCCGAAATGTCATAGTTCCTCGCGCGCGGAGTGTATTCCCTGATCGTCTCGGTGATGAATGCTTCGGAAGACGGCATTGTAGGTATGGACTGTTCAGAGCTCCTAAATACACTTCAGTTGACACGTACAATGGTGATGAATCTGGAACCATGTCAAAGGGATACTACCGAGAGCGCCTGGTCTTGGCATTTGCTTGGGACAGTCATGGTGGACAGTCAGATCTACGAAGACGGTTCCTGTCCATCTTGTTTAGACTCTCATAGTACATCTGTGATCTAATGATATATAAACATTAGAGTAATCTCAAGGTCGCCAGTTCGATCCTGGCATTTTGAGGACGAGAGCCGGTGAGAGAGCGTGAGAAAAAGATCCTCCTCCAAAAGAAAAAGTCCTATATAAACACGTACGGGTGTGTCTACTCTTGCTCTCGTTCTCCAGCTTGCTGCCTCTCTTCATCGCTTCTTTCAAGCTCTTTGCCGCTTACTCGGACATTCGTGCTTGTTTCTCCTCACAAGCCCACATCTGACCACCTTCCTTCCTCAAATTTTAGACGTCGAGTGGACCCCAACACTCTCGGTGCTGTTTCACAGAACGCACCATACACAGTTTCCTCGATGACTGGTGCAGCTGCACTCATGGATGGGAGCGCGGTGCCCCACCAGACCGGAACGGCCACCAACAGTCCCAAACCTGTGAGAGTACCTAAGGCAACGCCGGCGGCGAGACAGGCGCCGTTGATACCCCAGCCCACGGCTGGCAGTGTTGTAGCGACCGAAACCCCTGCTGCTATCTTGTTCCACGAGTCTGGGTCGAGAACATTCGCAACGCCGTCCAGAAGTCCATCAGGCGCAGCTGGAAGGTTGAACGCAACGTACTCCTTAAGTTTGTGCTTCCGCCCCTCAACCTTGAATGGCTGAAGGCAATCGGGGAAATGCAAGGGCTGCTTGAAGGAGAGGGTGCACCATGATGGGATGCGCAGGTGAAAAATAATGTCTCTTCCACGCTCCGACTCCCTTCTCAGTTGCGCTCTAACTTCTTACATGTACTGACACGACTTGTCCAAGTCATCCGACTTGGTACAAAACGTAGGCGGAAGTGGGTGTCCCGTGATCAATCGATGAAACGCTGGATACCAGTTTGTATCAGGATGGTAGACAAAGAAACGATGATTATCCCTTTCCACCTCCTGAATCACACCAATTTTCTCTTTGGTGAAGTCGTAGACGTGTTTCGCAAAGCCGTCTGGTCCTCCGCTTCCCGACGCGGCGATGCTATTGGCCTCGCCAAGATGCCCTCCAATGTCGGCGAGGGTCCGGATTATCTCGTACCCCTGAGCAATTTGAAAGGCTGAAACCCTCTGCGACCAACGTCCGTAATAGTTGATGTGATCGACGAGCGAATTTTGAATGACATAGATGCCATGGACATCTCTGACCACCTGGTCTGCCAATTTGGCAACTCTTTCCAAGCTCCCTGCCGCAGTTTGGGCACTTGTGGCCATAGTCTCGGTGCCATGAGAAATGTTATCAAGGGCCGCTCTTATAGATGCTTCCGTGGCCAGCCTGGCTGCCAAATCCAGGGGTTCACGGGCGTTTGCGCTGGCATTGCGGGCTCCCGGTGTCGAGGCGCCTGCCTCGATGTTCATGCTTATGCGGGCCAGATGGCCGGCAAGAACAGCCTCTGGAACGCCACAGTAGGTAGCAAATACCCCCAACAGCTCAGGCGCGTGCGGGCCAACATGTCGTATGATATTGTTGATCACTTGCACCGCCTGAGTCTCGGAGAGCTCGGCGAAGATGTCTTTGAAATATTTGTTATAGGCCTCGGGTAGAGGAAAGTGCGGATAGAGCGTCCGCACGACGCGTTCGAATTGGGGGAAACCAGAAAAATCCATCGAGCTCTTCAAAGGGAATTTCAGGATTTTCTCCAGCACTCAAAACTGAAATGAGAGCCTCAGGCAACTGGTAGGTCTTTGTATTGCCGTTGACCCGCGTTAGAATATCCGTCAACGGTTGATAGTCTCGAAAAGGATGGTTTAATCACGCGTCGGTGGCTTCGGTTTCAATGGCCAGGGATTCTTTGAGGGATTCGGCTTTTTGGGAGCTGTGTTGGTCAGCATTTTAGATGACAACGTCCATGATTCAAGTCTTACTGCCTCTTTTCCTCGAGGATTTCAAGGTCTTATGACCAACCCCAAAGGCGATCTGCTTGTCGGTGTGATTCGTTGTTCGTTTAAATTCTACTCGGAATTGTGAGCTCCTGCGAGGGGCTCTGTTCACGACAACGATGACGACGTAACGTGGTATGTCAAGTGTAGACGGTCGGCGGTGTCAGCAAATGGGCAGTTCGGAATCAGGGCGCGATATGAAGAGGTGAAAAGAACTCGCCTTGTGATCTTGGGATTTTGGATCCAAGCCTACCTGAGTCTTCATCATAATTCATAGTTATGGCACCGCCTTCTTGAGTGCTCACTTTTAGGTGACTATTCTAAGGTTTGACAAGATTGGGAAAGATTACTCGTTTCGTGGGCTGATACTGATCAACCTGGCCGGCGTACGTGTCGAGATTTGATTTGGCCGCTTCAATGATCAATGAGTCTTCTGGCTTCAAACCGCCAACAGTTCCAGCCTTCATGCGAAGAGTTCTCGAGAAGCGAGGCTGGCAAGCCGGTCGGGGTCGATGCATCATCAGTCGAGAACCAACCCGCTGCTGGGGTTACCATCATGAGCAAATGCACTGCTCATTTTGACCCCATGATCAAGATCTCTTTTGCAGTTTGGGAGGGCATGAGGGCGTCTAGATAAAAATAAGTGTGCAGAGGCCAATCGTCAGTCCTTCTAAGGCGAGATTAATAGGGTGAGCCCGGAATGGCGGACCCCCTTGTTAAGCGCTGCTGGCTTTGCCTCGTTGCAACCAATTGCCGACCTTTTGTTGTACCTGTCTGCTAGGCATTCTGTAACTTGGCCTACGCTTGCTTATATCAGTGATATTATTAAAGGAGAATTCTAGGTTAGAGTGATAGTACGGAGAGTACGGAGTAATACTGGACAACTAGAGGGCGCACGACGTCAGTGGAGTTTGTACGGACTATCTATATTCCGAGTGCCAAGTTGAACTAAACCTCATGATTAGTTTTAAGTAGCCACTGATCTTCTCCACTTTCTGGACAAGATATATTGCGCTATAATACTCCGTAATAATAATAATAATAACTCCGCTCCCCGCACGAAAAAAAAAAACAACAGCACAGCAAAAAGAAATGCTCCCTGCCAGGATCGAACTGGCGACCTTGAGATTACTCTAATGTTTATATATCATTAGATCACAGATGTACTATGAGACTCACGTGATAGCCAACTACACCAAGGAAGCGGAAGCGTGTTTATTGATTTTGAGTGTGCGACTTGACGCCGACTTATTTGCTGAGAAATTGGAAGGGCAAAAAATATACCTGTTCAATTTTTTCGGCGCGGCGGCGGACTTTTGAAACTCCGTACGGCAGTGAAAAATTCGGAGGGCCGCGCTTAGCAATGAACGGCTACTGTCCTTGGCCAAAATTCCACAAATCTGTTATGCCGGAACAAAGGTATGAATCACTACTTCCGGAGTAAACCAGCCAAACATGACAACTTGAGATGCTACAAACCAACACAATAACCACCTTCCCGTCCCATGGTAATTCTATACTGGTCTCCTCGAAACTCGATTCTCTATCCATCTATGTAAACTTTGCTCCGCAAAAGCGGGTTACAGAATTCTGTCAAGGGACAATCATCGTGGAAGAATGCGAGGTTGGGTAGAAGTGATGGACACAATTAACCATGTTGACTTGTCGGCTTCCGCACAAGGAATGGTGCGTAGACTGTTTTTCAAAACATTCTGGTGTTTAGCCTACGGATGGGTAGCACTCGATGATTCCAGGCACTTAGTGTCTGCTCCTCTAGGCCATTCCTATAAAAGCGCCGAGTACATGCAATGTCATTTATTTCATGAAGTTCAATTCATACATTGCCTGTCTCCTAGGCAGCCAGTTCTGAGAACCTGACTATGTGGTATAAACGTACAAACTGCTCCGTACTCCAACACATTCTTCAATCTGATTCTGTTTGCTGGAGGCTCTCCCCAAACCCTCCTCAGACCCATTTCCAGATTACTTACTCCGTAGATCCTGTGTGATCTAATCTCATACTTGAATATCTCGGGTGACAAATAGGGCATGTACCCGTATCCTATCTCGTTTCATCAGGGACATCTTGATGCTCAGTTCACACGTGTACCTGCAACTCTGCTTCTGTCTCGGAGATAGCATGGCTAACGAGAGGCCATCTGTAGTAAACACACCTTAAGTGTTTCCACATCTCACCATCGGCGCGACAGAGGTGGCCACATAGTGAGCAAGCCAGATCGGATGGAAGATGTCGACGGTGGTGACGAATGTTCTTCGATCGCCTGTTTACAGATTGGCCCGCTTTCAAGATGATATTCGGTTTCTTCGAACACCACGGCATCGACGCTTTGTGTTGTCTGTGCAATTGCCGATGACATTCGACATATGTTTGACAAGTTCCCGTGAACTCTCAAACGGTTGTCTGCAGCCACCGTTGCCCCATTCAGCTTCCAAAGCACCTCGGAGCCAATTGTGCGTTCGCTCCGCAATTGCTTGTCTCATGCTACTCTTTTGACTGCCAAAGACATTTGTATTGTCCGAAAACTTCATGTACCCTTGCTGTTCAGGCTTAGAAAGCTCAATACCGGCATTATCTAGAGTATAGCCATGAGAGACTGCGAGAGAAAGCGTGGGAGGATGCACGGTGTCGGTCATGCCTTGAGTATCTGAACTTTGTTGATCCGTGGCACTGAAGAGCGTGCGAGCGACTGATGCTGGTACGGGGTGAAATAAATCTCCTGCTGGCATTGATTCGGGGTTCGTGAATGTGGCGCTTGATCAGGTTACTTGTGCATCATTGTCTAAGACAATTTGACGATACGCTTCGGGTAACAAGGCTAATTCAGTTCGAGTGCTGCTTTGAACAGCCAATGTCGAGGCGTCTTCATTTGCAGAAGTAGATTCTCCAGACGCCAACTCTGATGAGATAGCGGCCGAACGAACTCAAGAGCTCTCAAGAGGAACATCTCAATATGCGTGAAGACTTTGCTTGGTCCAGACAGCAGGACAAAGCAGCAAGGGAATTTGGCCTTTCTGCTAGGTTGTGCGAGCGATGAGTTGGCTGGTGTGAGATGTCGTAGAAGATGGAATATACCATCGGCAACATAGATGAAATTCCACCTGGCAATGTGATTTCGACACACTGGACAAGACGGCTCAGTAGAAGGCGTGCCGAGAATATTTTGTAGAATGTGACAGACAACTTGTTCAAGCTTGGGAAAAACTGCTGAGGCAGTGTCTTTCAAAGCATAGTAATTGACCATTGACAACTCGAAGGGTGTGTCTTGTCTCTTCCTCTCTCTTGAACGTCGGTAGGAAAGTTGAGCCACCTGTACGGACCCTTGTGCAGCCATTCATGTGTGGTCGAAGAATGTGGCGAGGCAATATCGATGGTAGGGGTGTTTCGGTTAAGCGTCAGAAGTGTTCGGATCGATGTCTGCCGTCTTGTTGATAGAGCTTGTTGTAGGATACGGTGGTCCATTCTTGAACGAAGTGTTGTATACTTTGATCTCCGGGATGGTGGTCTTTGCCTTGCACGACTGCGTAGACTGCTTGACCGATCGTAGTCAGTGAGAATTGGCGGTATTGGCTATGACATTCGTGAATCAAGTATCGCAGCTGCAACCTTTCCAAGTATGGCCAAAGAAGTTGACGAATCTCAAGAGGTCTGTCCAGAGGCTATTGACTGTGTTCACTGCCACAATGATAATAGCGTCTTGTTCAGCGTTAACAGAGGATGACTTCTTGTGAAGCAGTGGCACACGACCCTCACCTCCTCTCGCTTTATCCTTGGCGAGGGATACATAAAAGCTCATCACAGTATTGTTCACTATGGGAGCAGCACACTCGATTGACTTCTCCTTCCCCTGATTTCCTCTGCCGAAAGGATATTTGTGATCACAAGAAGCTTCGACTCATGAGGCGGAAGCCCTGGGGTCATCTACCGAGCACACTGGTCTTGTTGCTGATCTTGTGGTAGTCCTGCCAGCTATTCCATAATATCACTCAACTCTGCCACGAGGTGTGTGGATGCAGTCTGGTGTTCGGCATTGGTGTTCGAGGATACGCCATCGAGAATGACTGTATGAGTCTCAGGTGTGCACGAGTATTGGTGTGTTTTTTTATGCGCGGGAACTGCGATCCGACCAGCCTGTTAGACTTCTCTTCACTGCCTGGCTACCCACTGAACCGACTGACGGAGACCATGGCATGAAGATTGTGAGGATTGGACACATCCATTTGATATTGGAAAGTTGAAATCTTGATGAAGAAGCTGTCGGTAGTCGGAGCTTGAATGTGACATGAGAGAAGGGGATAGAGAGAGAAGAGGAGAATGAGAACGATCGAATGATTTGATGAGCAGTTATGGAGGCTGTGGTGAGGAGGGTGCAGTTGTACGGCAGGATTTCCAATTTGGGTTGTGGTGTTGAGGAAGGTGTGTACAGGAAGGAGTCGTCTTATGATGTTGGTTTTTGAATTCGCAACTGGTGCCACTATGGACCATTAGTATCTTGCCTTTGACATGAGGCATACCTTTCTTACCTAAGTATAGTGAGTGGGTGTTGTTCGCCGATCGGAGAAACGATGGAATCCAAAGGAGGGGCTGTTCGTAGGAGATTCAAGTTGAAAAAGCCTTCTACAGCGTCGGTTCTTGAAAACGTACAAGAAGTGGGAACCGAAGTTCAGATATCAGTAGTACGTGCCCCCGTGCTCCTTGACAAGCCCTTGGTTTGTTGCCGGGATGACGATCGGATACAGGAGGAGAGGAAGTCGATTGGTAGTGGTTTGGGCAGTTTAAGGCCATACCCAGGACAGGGAGAGTTTCTGAACACTGATCCGGTCAATTTCGAGCATCACTTTCGACTATTGACCATTGTTCTGGAAGTTCCATTTTTCCTGTAAGACACGTACAAGGAAATGGGACAGGAATATTTTGCGTAAAATCTTCAATGTAAAAATCCGCCGGCGAAGCGTCACGGCTGGTGTGATAACGAACAGGTACCAGGATCTCAACTGGCCTCAGGGGATCATCAAGAGTGTCGATAGTTTGTCGAGTAGATTAGGAGGATGAAGTATCGGAAAAAGGTGAAGAATTGTATCCGCAGTCGGTGAAAGAAGAGAGAGAGAGAGAGACGGCCGGACAGGGATGTGTGCGTTGTAAAATGTTCTTGAAAGTCGATCAAAATTTTGAAAATCCGCCGGCGAAGCGTAACGGCTGGTGTGATAACGAACAGGTACCAGGGTCTCAACTAGTCTCGGGTGATCATCAAGAGCGTTGATAGATTGTCAAGGGATTTCGGAAGGAGGAAGAGGTAGATGAGGTGAGGCGTAGCGATGGGAGAAGTTTGTCTCAGTGTCATTATGACTGGACTCGACAAAGGCGTAGCGACTCTCCCTCGACTGTAATAATCAGACTATTGCAGTCAAGAGAGAGCCGCTACTGATCTTGTATCCCACGTACAAATGATAGAGAAGAAAAGGAAGAAGCAATTATGGGTTTTAAATAGTTGTGGCCGTCTCTGTTCAGAGGAAGAGAAGAGAAGGAGGAAAAGAAGAGAATGAGTCTGTGAAAGCAAGTAAAGACATGAGCCCGAGGAACAGAATTCTCCTTCACCTTGATTCACCGCCTTAGCACGCGATCTGGAATTTCATCATCATTCACCTCCTCAGTATTCAATTCGGAATCTGATCATTCACAGTGTCTCAGAATTTTCACCTACATTGACTGCATCAGCAAAGTTAATCATTCAAGATTTCTCGGCGTTTTCTTTTCACCAGACCGATCGAAACTTTCTATCCTCACAATTTGAGTTCGCGTAGCTAGGATTCGAGGCGAGAGGATACAGAAACTTGACCGGTCTACGACCCAGCCGGAAATGGTATCTATATACCAAAGCAATGTGAGTCCCCTCGTGCGGATGTGACCGTCACTAACGTTGAGGAAAGCAAGAACGATAAGAAGGCCGCTCATAAGGCTATGAGGCTCGTCGAAATCGGAAGTCCACCGGCACCATCTCCGATGGGGCTATCATGGATGATCTACGCAACGCCAAAGCTGGTGATCGTGGTACGATCTGCTCTCCGTCAAAAGTGGTATATTCGCCAAAGCCGATTCTCCGTCGTGGTAAGACTTGAAGACAGACTCCACACTCGCCCGCGACTGTTATGTGGCCATGATCATTGACGTTATTTGAGAAGATGACCA